AGGTTATCATTTACAGTGTAATCAGTGAGGGGATTCTGCAGACTGTTGAGGGTTCAGCCTCCTGATGAGTCGGTGAAACTCTGACGAAACAGTTTGTCACAGCCCCTCGTTTGTTGTCCTCTTCTCTCTCTCTGCCTACGGTTATTTTTTTTGCACGCCCGGGTAACCCGGGGATCAGACCCCCCCGAGCGTCACGCCCGGGTGCCCGGCCGTGCAGGCCTGGCCGGGCATGAAAAACTTCCTTGATTTAATATTACTATATAATTTAATATAAAACGTATAAATAATATGAGTATATATACGGTAATATACCTGGGCTTTTTTTCTTTTTTGCTTCTTTTTTTTTTATTAGACTTGCTCCTTTCTATTTGTCAGGAGTTTTGTATGAGAGATCATCTACATTGTTCTGCTTCCTACTTCCCTTTTTTTTTTTTTTTTTTTTTTTTCCCAAACAAAGACCGTTTTATTCTGGGGGCCATCAGTCTTGTTGCTTACCAACTCCTGCTTCGTACTGCCAACTCCTGCTATTTCAGTAATTACTTCATAATTCCTGGGCTGTTTTTCCATGTGCCCGGGCACAATATGGGCACACATTTTGTGTCGGTGCGCACATCTTGTGCCTGGACACACACGACCAGGCAGGACAGGCGGGGGTAACCCGGACAGGCGTCCATCCAGTGACCCGCACGGTTTCAGGGCAGGGCATGCCTGGTAGCTTATATATATATGATATTTACTGCTTAGTACACCCTGTTACTTCTTCTTTAGGCTGTCCGTTTTTGTCTATTTAATATTTATTAAATTGATTTCGAATTCTTTGTCTATTTAATAATTAAAAAAAATGCTTGTTAGTAAGTTGTCAACTTGTCACGTATTTGAACTTTGAAGTTATTTGAAGTTATTTCTTATGTTGTTTTCTTTTTTCTTTTTTTTTTCCAGAGACTGTCTGCTGTGTCTCTTGATACCAAGATCTGTGGCCTCTCTTTTGCAGAGTCTGACGTGTCCTGAAGTGCGCTGGTGCAAGGCCAGTGTCATCATGTTTCAGGCCCTCGTCAGAACATGATGGATCCTGACATAAGCTGTCACAGGGCAAAGGACACGTTGTTAGGAGATGCAAACATGAACTTCTTCTTCTTCTTCTTCTTCGTTGTCGTCGTCTTCTTCCCCTCGTTGTTCTTCAATCTTGTACATTATCATGTTTTTTCTTTTTTTCCCTCCCATACTGAGCTTGCAAAGTTTCGATTCAGGTACACTACCTGTTTGGTGGGAACCCGGGAATTAAGAGAAATGGCATGAAAGACCGTCTGGATGATTTCTGGTCTCTTCGATTGGTGCGGCCAACGGAAGAGGAGGTTCTTCATCGAGCGATTTTTCTCGTCAGGGCACAGGTGTGCATTGCAATTGACAACCCATCCTCTTTCACTTTGTAGGGCAGTCATCCCCACAGGTGTGTGTGTGTGTGTGTGTGTGTGTGTGTGTGTGTTGATGTGTGTGCAAAGACACATGGTGAACATCTCCGGCACAGATACTGTGCCCCGTACTGACACAATACTTCAGGGGGAAACACGCATCTGAGTGAGTCAAGTCAATAGACAACCCTTAAAGTAGCACTGCAAGTCCACTAGGCATACAGAAGATAGAAAAAACATACAATCCCAAGCCTGAAAGGTGGAGGGCATGCAAGACACAGCCAGGAAGGCATAGAACGACAAGCCGCAACAAGGGACACAGGATGGAGGGCACGGGGGAGGCGGGTGGGCAAACAAACGACACAAGGCAAACAGCACAAAACAACAAAGCGCACTGGGTGAAAGGCATGGGGTAGACGAACGGGCAAGCAAACAACATAAGGCAGCAAGGGAAACAGCAGCCAGCCAAACAACGACCATGCAAAAGCAGCACCAAAAAAAACAAGTATAAAACAGACTACGACTGGAAAAAATAAAAAATGACAAAAGATTGTTTCGTCGGAGTTGCACCGACTCATCAGGGGGCTGAACCCTCGACAATCTGCGGGAATCTCCGTATTAGATGGTTTGGGTCATGAACCCTTTGACCCTTGTTGAAGGCAGACTGTCCCCTAGCGGAACATAGCAGCGGGCGGCGACCCTGTGGAGCACCAGGCAGCACAGTAGAGGCAAAACGGCTGCACAATGCCAAAAACGACTGCAAGGAAAGACATGGCACACAGCGCAGAAATACGGAAGGCACGGCCAACGGATGAGCAGCAAGGCAGTGGAGTAGCAGAGTGCAAGGCACCACCAACAACACGGCCACACCACACAGTGAACACAGCAATATGCAGAGGGCCACATGCAAAGCAAGCGGGAGAGGCAGCAGGGCAGCGGCGGAGCGTAGACGAGGACGTCCACACATCCAACACGGAGCAAAGCAGCACATGACCTACTCACATCACGATTGAACCCCGCAGACTGTTGGTTCCCACCACCCACTGAGCCAGGGAGTCACTCCGACGAGCATCCGTCATCACCCATAAGCAACACAGACAACCCGAACTGAGCAGCCCCCATAAGAGTGCAGTAGGCACTCCAAACGAGGAACCACCGACTGTTTAGCACTGCTTGAGGGTGCTCCGTTGGGCACAAGAAAACTAAGAAAAAGCTCAGGAGGACAGACAACAGGAGAAAGACTAACAGACATAAAACTGATTGTGTGTGTGTGTGTGTGTGTGTGTGTGTGTGTGTGTGTGTGTCTTCACTTATAGCACGAATGCTTCATGCTAAGTAGCCCCGCAGTAACCGGTGATACGACCGTCTGTGGCCCAGATCCCCGCCCGCATCCGGTCTTATGTCTCTCTAGTCATTGGGGAGAACTGGGCTGTATTATTGTATCGACTATGTTGGGGGCATATGTTGTTAGACATTTGACATAGGCTGGCAATACCATTCCCAAACGCCGATCCTGGACGATGACCACATGTGTAATTTTGCCTACTCTCTTTGTCAAATTGAATGACTTTTGTATGTGTTTGCGTCTTGTTACGCCGTCTACTCTCTGCATTTGTTGTGATTAAACAACACAAGCACCAAGGGAAAAGACTAGCAGGGCAGGGTGGCATACCTGCCGACCACCTACCCCGACCCCCGACCGTTTTGCAGCCGACCAGTCGGTGGTCTGCCCGAGCAGTCAGAAAACAGCCATCCAGTGATTTTTTTTCAAATCTGAGTTGGGCGCTATACTGCGCTTGCTGATGATTATAGCCCAAATCCGATTTGATTGATTTTTTGAACGGTTGATGATTTGGTTATGTGATTAATTAAGTTGATTGGTTTGGGTTTATGTAGGAATATGATTACTTCAATAATTTTGAGTCACTGTTTATGTCTGATCTTGGGCAGAGGTTCAAGGATATGGCGTCTTCATCAATCGATGAAGCAGTGGAAGCATTGAAATATCTGCAAAGCCAAGTTTATGAGATGGTGAAACATGACAATCCGAAAGAGGTGGACAAGTTTTGCGCTTTAACATCGCATCTGTTCGTTCCGAAGGTGAAATTCGGTCGTGAATGTGGGCCGGAAACGTACAAGGAGGTATGTAAACTGTTGTGTCTCTTGTGTTTTTCTTTGTGGTATGATCCTTCGGATTCCTTCCCAATTATTGATGCAAAACTCTAGTTTGAGTGAATGTCATTCTCCACAATACAAGAAGAAAAGGAATAACGTAAAGAAGAGGAGAAGAAGAAAGAAGAAAGAAGAAGATACTAACAGGTGGCTGAGATCTGGCACCTCATCATCTTGGGGACACAGTACTGTGTAGGCGTGAAGCTGGAGACATGCTGGGAACTCGGCTGAATATCCGACCAAATGACAAATGTGTTGGTGCGGACAATCAGCAGTGAAGTCATATATGTATTGATACATATGGTGCGCCCCTCAACGACTACACGCCAGACATCCAAAAATAAAAGAATATGTTGAACTTTGTAGTGGTTGTGTCATTTGCTTTCTTCCCTTGTCTTTTCTTTGATTGGATCCCTTTCTCTTTCTCTTGCCTCTGTGAGGTTGGGTTTCCTCCTCCTTTTCGTTACCTCTTTGCCTTTTGGCTGCGTGCAAGTGGGTCCTTGTGACACATGGGGATGGGGGCAGCCAGTGCTCTTTGCTTTTTTTCGCCTTCGCGCTCTGATTCACAATGTGACTGTTTGTGACGATATCCATGTTCTAGCGGTGGATTCATTTGATTTTGGTCTCTCTCTCTCTCTCTCTCTCTCTCTCTCTCTCTCTCTCTCTCTCTCTCTCTCCTCTCCCGACTTCTTCCGCTGCTTCCCACCATCCCACCGTCGGCCTTTCTCCCGCCTTCCGCCATCCACCATCGCTACTTTCTCTCCCTCTTCC